CACCTGCAGGAGGGTTTACGAATTTTCATCCATCTAGTCCTGAGAATTACACAGCCCTGCCAGGCAGCAGAGCCAGGATGGTGACCTGGCTTTTACTTTGCTGAACTCACAGCCTGGTTACCTTCCTTTTCTCAGCGTGTGATTGGACAGCGTTCAGGCAGCGGCAGGCTGATGAAGTCATCTCTTTCTTTCTTCTCTTCCTGTCAACACATCCCCATGTGCATGCAGCGGAACCTGATTGGCCCTTACCCTCCCAGTGTGAGTGCTACTGTGGGGAGGAAGACAGATTCAGGCCCCTCCTTACCATCTCGTCTTGCATTGTATTGTGATTGTAATGTCTTCCTTATATTGTAAAGTGCTGCGCAAACTGTTGACGCCATATAAATCCTGTATAATAATAATAATAATACTTACACAAGATGCATTTGAAAAACGTTAAATAATTTAATAAACACACAACTGTATTGGTGAGTCTATACTGTCTGTAGTATAGCTTTAACACCAGGTACTCATTCCTCTAATTCTTACAAGTTCTCTTTAACCAGTTGTGTCCTTCTGCTCCAATGCTGCCCCCCACCTCCAAGTACTTACTGGAAGTTCCCATCTGTCAAAAAACAGATCGTCTGACACAGTGTTTATAAACATTGATCAGAGGGAGATAGAGAGATACAAAGTAACATTGTTTATAAACATTGCTCAGAGGGAGATGGAGAGATACATTTTTGCAAAACAATATCACCAAAAAAAAAGTCTTTCTTTGTCCTAAATAAATGTGACTTATGTATTACTTTAATATCTTAAGTAATGACAAAGTTATTTTTTGATGAAACAGACCCACAGCAGAAATGTCTATAGGGGGGTGTACAAGGGGAGAAGGGGATCTTGTCTGGTCCAGATTAGCACTGGTCCCTCCACCCTGCCTGTGTATGGTTCCTCTTAGGACTGGACAGCCCAGTCCTTCCACCGCCGCCATAGCAGTGACACTCTTCTGTACAGTGTTACAGGAAGAGCGTAGACTTCACCGCTGGCGCCTCGTATATCGGCTGTCTGCCGGCCTGGTCTCCCTGCCAGAACCCAATGAGTGATTATGATTATTAGTGGCTCCGCGCCACTCACCTTGTTAAACCTTCCTGCAGAAAATGTCTAATTATCATTAGAGCGTTGCATGTTTTGGGTATTCCCGATGACAATCATCTTGCTTCACGGTCGGAATTCCTCCGGTGTCTTTTGAAGTAAATGATGATATTAGGTGAGGCCGTGTGCTCTCTTAGCAGCCTGGAGATATTTTTACCTTCTGAATTTTAGTATTTCCACACTCTAATGAACCGTTTTAAAGGGAACCTGTCATGAAGTGGAACACCTGGGTGAGAAGGCCCTGGTGCATGCAGTTATTGTTCAGCTCTGAGACTTTGGACTGGTTCTGAGGAATCAGAAAACTTCATCCATTCCCAACATAAATGTTGGGAAGCAGCTCAATATATGGGACGGCTACACTACTTGGCCGAAGTTTGTGGACACTTGACCATCACACCTGCACTATATGGCCAAAAGTATGTGGTCACTATTTCAAATGATTGTAATTTGGTGAAGACCCTTTTCTGTCCCACCATGACTGTCCCCTGTGTACAAAGCTCCATACAGAAATGGTGTGACCTGCTTGGTGTGGAGGAACTCAACCCTACTGAACACCTTTGGGATGAAACCCAACATGCCAGGAATGTACCCCAGTATTTATACCCCCACCATACCAGGATCATACCCCAGTGTTTATACCTCCAGCATACCAGGAACATACCTCAGAATGTATACCCCCACCATACTAGGAACATACCCCAGTGTTTATACCCCCACCATACCAGGAACATACCCCAGTATTTATACCTCCAGCATACCAGGAACATACCCCAGTGCGTATACCCCTCCATACCAGGAACATACCCCAGTATTTATACCTCCAGCATACCAGGAACATACCCCAGTGCGTATACCCCTCCATACCAGGAACATACCCCAGTATTTATACCTCCAGCATACCAGGAACATACCCCAGTGCGTATACCCCTCCATACCAGGAACATACCCCAGTATTTATACCTCCAGCATACCAGGAACATACCCCAGTGCGTATACCCCTCCATACCAGGAACATACCCCAGTATTTATACCTCCAGCATACCAGGAACATACCCCAGTGCGTATACCCCTCCATACCAGGAACATACCCCAGTATTTATACCTCCAGCATACCAGGAACATACCCCAGTGCGTATACCCCTCCATACCAGGAACATACCCCAGTATTTATACCTCCAGCATACCAGGAACATACCCCAGTGCGTATACCCCTCCATACCAGGAACATACCCCAGTATTTATACCTCCAGCATACCAGGAACATACCCCAGTGCGTATACCCCTCCATACCAGGAACATACCCCAGTATTTATACCTCCAGCATACCAGGAACATACCCCAGTGCGTATACCCCTCCATACCAGGAACATACCCCAGTATTTATACCTCCAGCATACCAGGAACATACCCCAGTGCGTATACCCCTCCATACCAGGAACATACCCCAGTATTTATACCTCCAGCATACCAGGAACATACCCCAGTGCGTATACCCCTCCATACCAGGAACATACCCCAGTATTTATACCTCCAGCATACCAGGAACATACCCCAGTGCGTATACCCCTCCATACCAGGAACATACCCCAGTATTTATACCTCCAGCATACCAGGAACATACCCCAGTGCGTATACCCCTCCATACCAGGAACATACCCCAGTATTTATACCTCCAGCATACCAGGAACATACCCCAGTGCGTATACCCCTCCATACCAGGAACATACCCCAGTATTTATACCTCCAGCATACCAGGAACATACCCCAGTGCGTATACCCCTCCATACCAGGAACATACCCCAGTATTTATACCTCCAGCATACCAGGAACATACCCCAGTGCGTATACCCCTCCATACCAGGAACATACCCCAGTATTTATACCTCCAGCATACCAGGAACATACCCCAGTGCGTATACCCCTCCATACCAGGAACATACCCCAGTATTTATACCTCCAGCATACCAGGAACATACCCCAGTGCGTATACCCCTCCATACCAGGAACATACCCCAGTATTTATACCTCCAGCATACCAGGAACATACCCCAGTGCGTATACCCCTCCATACCAGGAACATACCCCAGTATTTATACCTCCAGCATACCAGGAACATACCCCAGTGCGTATACCCCTCCATACCAGGAACATACCCCAGTATTTATACCTCCAGCATACCAGGAACATACCCCAGTGCGTATACCCCTCCATACCAGGAACATACCCCAGTATTTATACCTCCAGCATACCAGGAACATACCCCAGTGCGTATACCCCTCCATACCAGGAACATACCCCAGTATTTATACCTCCAGCATACCAGGAACATACCCCAGTGCGTATACCCCTCCATACCAGGAACATACCCCAGTATTTATACCTCCAGCATACCAGGAACATACCCCAGTGCGTATACCCCTCCATACCAGGAACATACCCCAGTATTTATACCTCCAGCATACCAGGAACATACCCCAGTGCGTATACCCCTCCATACCAGGAACATACCCCAGTATTTATACCTCCAGCATACCAGGAACATACCCCAGTGCGTATACCCCTCCATACCAGGAACATACCCCAGTATTTATACCTCCAGCATACCAGGAACATACCCCAGTGCGTATACCCCTCCATACCAGGAACATACCCCAGTATTTATACCTCCAGCATACCAGGAACATACCCCAGTGCGTATACCCCTCCATACCAGGAACATACCCCAGTATTTATACCTCCAGCATACCAGGAACATACCCCAGTGCGTATACCCCTCCATACCAGGAACATACCCCAGTATTTATACCTCCAGCATACCAGGAACATACCCCAGTGCGTATACCCCTCCATACCAGGAACATACCCCAGTATTTATACCTCCAGCATACCAGGAACATACCCCAGTGCGTATACCCCTCCATACCAGGAACATACCCCAGTATTTATACCTCCAGCATACCAGGAACATACCCCAGTGCGTATACCCCTCCATACCAGGAACATACCCCAGTATTTATACCTCCAGCATACCAGGAACATACCCCAGTGCGTATACCCCTCCATACCAGGAACATACCCCAGTATTTATACCTCCAGCATACCAGGAACATACCCCAGTGCGTATACCCCTCCATACCAGGAACATACCCCAGTATTTATACCTCCAGCATACCAGGAACATACCCCAGTGCGTATACCCCTCCATACCAGGAACATACCCCAGTATTTATACCTCCAGCATACCAGGAACATACCCCAGTGCGTATACCCCTCCATACCAGGAACATACCCCAGTATTTATACCTCCAGCATACCAGGAACATACCCCAGTGCGTATACCCCTCCATACCAGGAACATACCCCAGTATTTATACCTCCAGCATACCAGGAACATACCCCAGTGCGTATACCCCTCCATACCAGGAACATACCCCAGTATTTATACCTCCAGCATACCAGGAACATACCCCAGTGCGTATACCCCTCCATACCAGGAACATACCCCAGTATTTATACCTCCAGCATACCAGGAACATACCCCAGTGCGTATACCCCTCCATACCAGGAACATACCCCAGTATTTATACCTCCAGCATACCAGGAACATACCCCAGTGCGTATACCCCTCCATACCAGGAACATACCCCAGTATTTATACCTCCAGCATACCAGGAACATACCCCAGTGCGTATACCCCTCCATACCAGGAACATACCCCAGTATTTATACCTCCAGCATACCAGGAACATACCCCAGTGCGTATAACAATCAACATTTTTTATTTTATTTATCATGTTGTACAAGTTGAATTCAATGTGATGAGTGTTTGTGGAGATTTACATGACATGCGATGTTATATTTTCCAGGTAACCACCATGTCAGTGGCCATTCACTGGTGGAACCTTTTCCAGAGGGGACACAAATGGCGATATTCGGTGAGTGCTTTCTATTACTTATAGAACTTTCTAGAATGACATTCCAGGTTCTAAAGTATAAATGCCACTTTGTAATACAAAGTTACCTCCTATGTTGTTCCATTCGTCCGCTTAATCCAATGACAGTAGTTTGCAGCGCCGGAAACACATTTCTCTCCTCAAATAACTGCAGAACACGTGACCAGACTGTCTGTATTTCATGTGTCTATGTGGAAGAAGAAATGACAAAGAACCGGCCCCCCTTATATCAGAACTATTCTCATTTTATACAAAGGGTGAAGAAATGACACATATTGCTAATGAATATAAAACACGAGGCAGAAACAATAAGCTGAAGCATTGGTACAGTTGCATATATGAATGCTACATACATGGGGTATTACATGGAAGTAACTTACCATAGCAGGGCAGTCAGAGAGGCTATGGGGTCCTACCCAACCTTTCGGAGTAATAGTATACCCCCTTCGCAGGGGAGACCTGTATACTACATTACTCATCCACTCGCTTGTTATCTCTCGTCTTGACTATTGCAACTCAGGTGCTGAAAATATTGTCACATCCCTTAGCCTATGGCAGCTGTAGAGCATTGGTGCACACCTGGGCGACTCCTGACCACGCGGAATTGTGCACGAATGCTGCGCGGTAGGGTGTCACCTAGGTGTGCACCGGCCCTCAATTAACGAGATTATTTCCAAAGTTAACTGGTGGAACTTGCCCTTTAATTGCGCGGCATCGCCCGTCTGTGAAAGGCCTATTGTCTGTTTCTGAAGCTGCGCAGACACGGATCTCTCTGACAAATGCTGCGGCTCTGAAATCCAGCACTGTCTCGGGCCCGGAAAGAAGTATGAAATATGTTAAAATAAATGTCATTTGTATCCATTGTCCTGTTAAATCTCTCCCCGGGGGAGGGCGGTGGGGAGGCATTTATACCAGCCAAAGAAACACACAGACATTTGGCAGCCCGAAATGACTCATTGCTTGATCACAGTGATAGTTGTTATGCCGCCATAAATCTCAATCTTTCTCCAGCATTTATTTTCCACAACCGACAACAGAAACAGTCCTTCTTCAGGACAGCATAACAACTTCAAAGGTTGCTTCCTTCAGCACAAAAATAATAATGTTATAATAATGTTACCCTCACCGGCTGGGGTGGCTTCAGTCCACAAAGGTTATCACAATCTTTACCTATGAGTCTCTCTCAGGGGCCCCCACCATCCCTGAGCCGAATTCGCTGAGCGAAAACGGCCAACACTGCCAGGTAGACAGAAAATATAGCAAGCAGATGTCACTGTTGGAGTATGCAGGACCTATGGGAGGTCTGTGGCCAAAATAGCTCACCTGTATCCAAAGTATCACTTTTAGGTGGACTAACCCTTTAGCCCTCATTCACACTGGAATCAGCCGGCACGTACAGCTCCGTGCTGCGTGCGCAGCCGTATCGGGCAGCTCCCGGGAAGGACAGGTGCTGCGTGTGATTAGTACGCAGCCCCCGTCCTTCTCTATGGGACTACGCGGCCGTACGCCGCCCCGACGCTCACCCGCCCTGCACGTACATGCGAATGCGCGTGAGCGTACTCGTACGCTGACTGGATGGATCCTGTCTGCGTCCAAGCAAAGAAACATGCACCCCTACGGAGCTGCACTTGAGGTGAGCGTAGGGGCGGCGTACGGACGCGTAGTCCCATAGAAAAGGAAGGGGGCTGCGTACTAATCACACGCAGCACCTGTCCTTCCCGGGAGCTGCCCGTGCACGCAGCACGGAGCTGTACGTACCGGCCGATTCCAGTGCGAATGAGGGCTTAAAGTAACGGTGTTCTTGATCCTGTATGGAATTCTAAATGCTGCCTTCAGTGGTTCTTAACCTGGGGGGTCCCATCCCCCCCCCAGGCAGAATGAAATTCCCCTAATGGGGATCTTTTGATTGTTTCTCTGAATAATTAACGGGATTGTCTACATTATTGAACCTGAAATCAATGAGCAATCATCTTGATGTGTCAGATGACGTGCGCGTAACACTGTCAGTAACTAGAAGTCCAATCCATTGTTCTGATTGCACAAAACCATCAGCAGAACTCTCACCGGTTGTATGTAGCTCGTGTGTTTGTCATTTGCCATTTCTATATATATATATATTTAAAAAAATAGGATAAAGTGGTTATGGACTTGATTAAATGAAGTTATTGACATCCGTTGAAGCCGCACTGCTACCTTAGAGGGCTGGTAATAAGTCTGGTGAGGGGGGAGTATGGGCATATATTGGGCAATCCATTGGGGGGTCTGTAATCACTAAAAGGTTACAGTGTCTGTAAACCCCCAAAAAATGTTTTGTGTCATTGGCTCCAGAATTTGTTGCTTTTACGTTTCCTTTCATAACTGTATTATTAGATACTAAATACCTGGGTAGTCCCGTCACTTCACTCTATTACCCTATTCAGAGTGACAACGCTATTCCAGTTATCTTCAGTGTCGCCACGCTTCTCGGAGAACATCTTCAGGGACACGTGGGATGGATACTCCCCCCCTCCCCTAAAATGCTACTAAGGTTCATCATACTGACTAACTGACATATCCGTCTGGATGTCGCAACACTTCTTAAAACTCAACCTTTCAAAAACTGAGCTCCCGCCCGTGCACCTTCCCCCAGCTTTTCGCTTGAGATTGATAACACAACTATCCCCCCCTCCCCCCATGCCAAGGTGCTAGGTGTCATCCTTGACTCGGACCTCACCTTTCTTCCCCACATCCAATCCCTATCCAAATCCTGCCGCCTTCACCTTCCTAACATCTCCAAAATACGCCCCTTCCTCACCAATGACACCGCAAAACTACTCATCCACTCCCTTGTTATCTCTCGTCTTGACTACTGCAACTCCCTCCTCATTGGCCGACCTCTACACAGGCTCCTCCCCCCTTCAGTCTATCATATTTTACCCCAACCTGTCCGTCTATCTACCACACTGACTGCCTTTAGGCGTGCCCTCAAGACTCATCTCTTCAGGGAAGCCGATCCCACCTCAACCTAACCACTGAACCATCACGTTCTCACATAATTCATTCCCCACGCAGCTACCTCCACATGTATCACTGGCCCCTCCCTTTGGGATTGTAAGCCCTCAGGGGCAGGGCCCTCCTCACCATCTTGTCTTGAATTGTATTGTGATTATCATGTCTTCCTTATATTGTACAATGCTGCGCAAACTGTTGGCGCCATATAAATCCCGTATAATAATAATAATAGAGTTCAGGGAACCTACTAAACAGAAAAACTGCTGTGTGGCTGCTAATCTTGTGTTCCTACAATAGTGTCTAGAAGTGCTCTGGATATTGTCAACTTCACACACCTTGAGGCAAACAAAAAGATACCTTGTCGCACTCCTTACCGGAAAAAACCCAAAGTTGAATGAGGGGGGTGCTTGTAGTCTCCCTGCCGTCCCAAGGCCCGGTTCTGCGATGCGCCATCTTATTATTGTTTATTTTTTATAATTATTTTCTTATTTTTTAATAATTTGTTTCTTTTTTACTTTTTAATTACCTTTTTTATTGTTTTATTTAATTATTAATTTATTTATTGAAAAAAATTTTTTTTTATCAATGTCATTTTTTCCCCCACCTAACTTTAGTACTATCACACAGGAGAAAACAATCCCCTGTTTAATAGCAATTGGAGGTGACAGGTTCTCTTTATCGACCCCTGTCACCTCCAATACAGGAGTTCTAGCGCAGCGCTGCGCTGGAACTCCTGTGACAGGTGAGAGAGGAAGAGCGCAGCACGGCACAGCACGGCACGGCACAGCACGGCACAGCACGGCACAGCACAGCACGGCACAGCTCTCCCCTCTCACTGTCTACACGGGGCAGCAGGGTTACTTATAACCGTGCCGCTTTGATCACTGCAGTCAGAGATTCGGGACTCGGCGGCGGAGGACGGAACCAAAGGAGAGAGGTGAGTGTAGGGGGAAAGGGGGAGAAGGCTGCACACTGTTTACATGTGATCTCACATGTAAACGAAAAATCGGCTTCCCTCACTCTACATTCAGTCCTGCTTGCACAAAGCAGGACTGAATGTAGAGAGGGCAACTTCCCCACAAGGACACCGCTGCCGCCCCTCTGCGCCCTGCCGCCCCGAGGCCGGGGCCTCGGTGGCCTTGTGGGGAATCCGGGCCTGGCCGCCACACAGTATAAAGATGAATAAATGTCACCAGCACACCACCAGTATTGCAGTCCAAAGAGTTTGTTTATTGGAACGTCATGTCACCAAAACTAGCGCTTTTCGGGGGCCACGCAGGGTCCCCTTCATCAGGCTCAGCAATGACCACAACTTCACACACCTTGGTTTCCGAGTCCTTCCAAAGGGCCCATGACACCATCTCCTGGTGTGCAGAGGTTTTCCCGCATGGAACTGCTCGTTAATGGAAGCAGGTTGGCCATCCGAACGTCAGCACATCTGAAATGTTTCCGCATTACGTCAGCAGAGCGCTGATTGATTCTCCTCATTGTCTGGAGTTCATTCCGGAGGTGGATTTTTAATGTTCTTCTTTCAATAAAGGTTTCCTTTGTTTTGTTGTATACATAAAGCTGTATTGTCGGCCGCGTCTTCGCGGACAGAGTACCGTACAGGTTGAAGCAAGGCAGCTCTCATGCAGCTTGCTGTATTTAATCTACAGTATATAAGATCGGAAGGTTCAGCCCGCTGCTGTGTCTGTTCCGGACATTGGAGGTCAGGAAAGGTAAGAGCAGTAGGCAGAAAGAACAGCATTGCCGTGATTAAGGCTTCCAGCTGGTTTCTCTGGAGGTTTTGTGAGGAGGCAAAGAGCGAGGCTGAGTGATAATGTAAACCTCAAATAATACCGCCGTGCTTTAATAGTCAAATAGTCTGAAAGAAAGTTCATCGAGGTGAACCGATAGGAAAAAAAGATGAAATGACCACATTGAAAGCCTTCACCATTCCTCCCAATGGCACAGGGACGCCATTCCTCCCAATGACACAGGGACACCAT